GATATTGTTTTGCTATGAGCTGGGCAATTTACCAATATTACATTTTGCGTCAGGTATAAAGGAATTTGAACCCTCCACAGGATATGCTTCTGAAATGTCCATAACTGCACCATTGTCTGCATCATAAATAGATTCTTTATTTTTTTATGTTCTGGGATATCTCGTTGAATAAATAGTTTCCTCAAAACATTTTCCATGAGTTGCTGTTGAGCAGCTAACATTTACTGCTGATGCTGCTGTAATATTAACTGCAACTGTCGTAAAGAAATCGCCATTTTTGCTGCTAATATTGATAACATTAACTCCAAAATCACCGGCTTATTTCTTTTCAAAATCTACGCCACCAGTTGTTGTATTATTTCTTTTTATCCGCCAAGCACTAAACATGAATTAAAAGACATCATGGTAGCGATTTGCTGGCGCTGTGAGAACATTTGTCTAGTCGAAATCTTCCTTTTTATTCTTTCTTTTACAGACATATCAGGTCTTAGTCGAATGTTGGTCTTATTGTAACTTCGAGCACTAGTTGACAAGTGATTTTATTGTTTTGCCGACCCTAGGATTACCCTGAGGAGTCTATGTGATATAAGTCCATTACTTTTTCAGTCCCCTTATTCATTCTTAACATTTTTATATGAGCTGCTAAATATTTATCTGGTAAGATGCTACGAATAAATCCTGTAACTTTGTACAAAGCATGCGCGAGTCTAATTTTCATGGTTATTTAGTCCTGCCAAATTATTCGCAATAATATTGTATGACATTAAGTTTTTTCCTGGCCACACTAGGGTTACGTACAGACGTGCCTTGGCGGTGTATTTCATGACTCAAAATGGAGCCCTGTAAAAGGCTTACCAACTAAGTCTATGTTGATCGTGTCTTTTTTCATTGTCTCAGCACTGCCTTCCACTTCTCCTCAATCGGGACAGTCACATTGGGACTGCTATGGACAGTGACGTTTTTACTTAGGTCTTCATACACTACTTTAGAATCGCAACCAACAATATCTAATGATAGTTCACTCCTTGTTTGTTTCAGAGGAGATTTCACCTTCTCCTGTTTCTCAGAAGGGTGATTGGCTCATTGACAGCACATACTACGCTGGCGCATTTTTCGCTGCCAGTATTCATGTTACTAATACAGACATCATCAACTTTCTTGTTGGTCAATGTCAAAAGACCCGCCGTCTTCTTCACCAGCAATGTATCACTCAAAGAGCAAAACATGCGAAGCCAATGGTAGTTAGGCTCGGAGCATCTTTTGTAAGCGATGGGAAATTAGACGGGCAATCAGCTGATAGAACCACTTTTGGTACTGTGTGGTCAGCGGAACGTCACTTGACCCTAGCCAAATCATCCGGGAGTCAAGTCAGTGAGTATTAAACAGTTCAACTACCCACATCAAAGTCAATGACAATTAACGATCATCAGGCACATGAATCGGTCCATACGGCAGTGATCTTATTCTGTTCCTTACCCCCACTCTTACTAATACGCTTTTTTAATAACGTGTTTTTGCATTGTACGGCCATCAGGGTGACCATGGTGCCTGGATGAGATGAAAGGATCATTTACGATAGTTACTAACCATGAGGTGTGACTTCGATGTTATATGGTTGGTCATACCATTCCCGTTTAACTCGAGTATGCCCCATTCATTGAACACGGATAATCCACGCTATCAATCTACAACACTCATTGCATACCATTCCTTCCCCTACAGGGAAGAAACGATTTGGTTATCCACACTCATAGGTGCAGCCGACCACTTTAAACAGATTTAATGAAAAAACATTCAATAATATACACAAGATATTAACTAGTATGAGCACTAACTAAAAAAAGGAGTGCCTCAAAACGCATTTTAAGAAACTGTCAAACGTTAACGTAATTATTCGAGTCAAAGTAGACCGAATATGCTTTTGATTCAACAAATACTTAATGATTTAAGCAAAAACCACTTTATCATATAAAAGCTATGGAAATTCATTGAATTGACTTATGAAGTGTGAAATTGGTTTAAATTTGCCGTTCATATAGATTGAAACGTGTAAGTGACTTTCTTAACTAACCTTTAAGCGCGCAACCACCAATAAAGAGTGCTGTTGTGTCTTTGACTAGTTTTAGCGGATTGTGGCTCTTTATTTAGTGAGTACGATATAACTTTCAGATTTTATCCAGGAAATATGATGTAAATGCCCATAATTTCCCTATATATGAGCCACAGTTTGACTTATTCAAACCAAATCTCCCAGTAAACCAACCTAGTGAAAATGAGGCGACCTTTGGACGAATCTTAAGTAAGCTTGAGAAATATTAGCCAGTCAGCAAACAGTCAGTATAGAGTAAAAATATGTTATACAAAACCAAGGAAATAAAATGGATACACTTCTTATACGTGGTTCAAAAACTTGTCAAGGTTAGAAAGAGGTTCAGAGGTTCTAGAACCGTAATGCATGGAGTAGAGAAAATCACCTGTATGGGTACAGAATAGCAGGCCTCTGCAGCCATGATAAAGTCTCAAAAACGCTTTCAGTCTCGACCACGTAGCTTCAATATTGTTTATGTGCACTCCGGTTGTTAAGTACACAAAATACCACTTGTAGGAGTCTGTACGCTCTCCAACCGTCCGTGTATGTTGTAGTACCTGGCTGCAGCCTGTGTTGCTGGTGCTTTTATTATCCAGTTCGCAATAATTGTAATTTGCCTTAGTTGGGAATTATATATGGGGCTTTCATCACGAACTGACATTAGCTATAATGCCAAAAATTTATTTAAATGGATGAAAGGCTTTCGCGTTAAAATCCAAGATGTATTATCTTGTACCTGATTGGTTCGTCCACAAATTATAGTCCCGCCGTTTTATTTATTATAGCCGCTCAATCATTACGTTTTGTACAAATTCCCTGTGAACCGATCATACATTGGCACTAAGCACAGAAGTTGGCACCGTGACCTTGAAATCTCTCAAACGCTTCTGATTAGCTCGTCCATAAATTAGAGTCTCTCCAACACAGTAATTCCATTCCATGTCTCACCTTTCTCGGAGGAACAGGTGGCCATTGCTGGATAATATGTTTCCCCAAATTTCCTTCCCGAATTTCATCAACATATATGTCGCCGAAACGCACGTCAAAAATGGGCTTATTCTGTAAAAAGCAACTAGAATACGCAGTCGACAACATATTTAGTTTGGAAAGGAAGAGAGGTTTGGTGGCCTGATAGTCCTGGCAATGATGCTTTCTCAGCTGATCCAACTTCCTTTCGAAAGAGTCGATGGATGGAGCCTCAATCACGTGCTGAGGTAGTGAATTCCACTCGTTGATGATTCGATGGGAAAGTCGATAGTCAGTTGACAAGTTATTTGTCCTGGGCTTTTGAACTTTTTTGGAGTCCTCGTAAATTCTTTGTTTTGGAAGACAAAAAATGAGGGCATATCTGTGGCAAATTTATCACAACGAAATCAAGTCTCTCCTAGTTCTTCGATATGACAACGGGAACAGATTAAGCTCGGCCATTCGAGCATTATACGGGAGTTAGGTGTTTCGGGAATCATCTTAGTTGATGTTCTCTGAACCTTTTCCATAAGCTCACTGTCTCTTTTTTTGGCGGGGACTAGCCGCTTGTATGGAGTACTCAAGTTTACAACACACGAACACTGTACACAAAGTCAAAAACGTTTTCGCATCGACGTGTTTAAATGCCCTACGTATTGACCATAAAGTTCTAAAACCTTTGGCGGCTATTGCACGGCAGTGTGTAGTAGTCTTTAAGTCTTGACTAACGATCACTCGCAAGTCATTGTATATCTGGACAACAGGTATCTCAGTGTATGTACTATTATCTATACCTTGGTGACCGATATGAATCACAATACACTTGGAAGTATTTATCGGCAACTGCCAGGTTCTAAACCATTCAGATAATTTCTTTAGGTAATTTTGGAGTTCTAAGCTATCACCCTTACTTCGTATCGCTCTTCATATCTTGATATCATCAGCATATAGCAAGAACAATGATGATAGTAGACGAAGAAAAGCATTTACACACAAGAGGAATACATCGGCCTCAAAACTGTACCCTGGGGCACTCCACTAAGTACAATTTCCCAGTTTGAAAACTGAGTTCACCGGTACCCTTTGTTGGCGTACAACTAGGAAGTATTTTATCCCCATCAATAGATTGCCCCAACCCCGACATTTCTGAACTTATGTGACAGCTGGTTGTGCGGAACTTTGTCAAACGCTTTGCTGAAGTCAATGTAGGCTACGTCTATAGGTAACTTTTGGTCCTTAAGGGAGCACCAGCTTTCACAAGCCACTAATAAGTTTATGAGACAGTGAAGATGCCACAGGTATTCGGAGTTTGACAGCGCTTTAACCAGTAACACCTTTTAATATGAATCGTACCCACCAAGTGAAATCAAGAGACAGAAGCGAGGAGGTTTTAAGATATATTTGATAGCCTATCAATATATCGAGGATCGTCTGATCTATACTGGCTAACGGTCGCAGGGGTTGTTGAGAACGGCGTTCCTACTCGTGATCTGGTGTAGATACATGACCGTGCGCTTTCAGCTAGATATGTCCACTAAAACAAATGTGGTCAGCGTTCAATGTCGAAAACTTCAGAGCTATTTATTTTGGGGATTTATTTACCACTACAACAGGAGTAACCTATTCTAAAACCACGTTGCTTCTCCGAAAGGATCCGGTTTTCATCGAAGTACTTAAATAACTTCTTCCAAATAATGTTTTCTAAGGTTTTAACAACCACACTAGTTAGGCTAACGGGTCGGTAATTCCCAGGTTTAGATTTCATACCTGTTTTGAAGACAGGACTTACTATGGAATTCTTCCAGTCTTTTGGTAAACGACCCTGGGTAACAGATAGATTAAACTATGTACTTAAAGGGTTTGTACCGAAGTTAGCTAATTTCTTTAATAACCTAGGGTGCATTGCCCCGTGGATTTGCCCATATCAAGCTTATTCAGCAGACCAAAGACATCGCGCGTGAACTGAACATTTGCAGTACATAATAAAAGTAGTTTATTCAAGTGTTGACCGAATAGGAAAAGAGGGGAATTATTAGATATATGCTCACAAAGGAAACCAACAGTCTTAGTTAACGGTACGTTTGTAAAAAGAAAGTTTACATCAAAAGAATGCAAAGTCTTATCTTTAGTATTATAATATTAATTAATGTCCTCAAGAAGATAAATTAGTTCAAATGTATCTTTTAAAGAAAACTCGCATAGTTTATTACGAATTAGGTTTAGCAGCTTCACTAGCCAATCTGCTAGTTCGAACTAGCACCTAAACATGATCATGTTTAGGTGAACCACACATATATAATATTGGTCGTAATGGATTATTGGGTTTATGAATTTTAGACCATCCATATAAACTCGAGAAAACAGGGCCGGGAGGTTTCAGCATATTAAGATCTTTTTGTTTATGACATTCATTCTAAGGAGCTTCGGTAGATTGAACTGTACTCTGTATTCCAATTTTCGGTAGGACTCTAATTTATGGACGAGCCAATCAGAAGCGTTTATGGAATTTCAAGGTCACGGCGCTAAGTTCAGTGCGAGATGCTCACATTCGATCGTTTTACAGCAGATTTTAGAGAACAGGTGATCGTTGAGAGACTACAGCAGATGGGACTATTAAGAAGTTCCTGTGTCTGTGACTGCGGAAATTAAATGACCGCAGCACGATGTGCAGACTGTCGCGATGACATTGTATTTCGTTGTACTATATGTTGTAGAAAAAAATCTGCTCGAACTGGCACTTTTTTTGCCCGGTCACGGCTAAGGCTAAGACAAACCTTGATAATCGTTGCAAATTGGATCATAAAGTCTCCAGTAACATTAGCTGCGGCTATACCGATGATTGGAAAGCGTATAGATGCCTCTCGAGACTTGGTTTTGTGCATCATGTGGTGGTGCACAAACGTCATTTCTTTGATCCAACGACGGGGGGTCCATACAAACAACACTGAGGGCATGTGGTCTAGGCTGAAGTATTTTTTAAGACCCTACCACGGCTCCAGAGGACGATTATTATGGAGTCATATGGACGAGTTCTTATACCGCATGCACTATGATTTCAAAACTTCTGGACCTATATCAAACCTCAACAAGTTCTTAAATAATGTAAAAGAAGAATATCCATTGTAATTCATCACTTTTTTATTATATATTTTCACTTCATACTAACTCTCTTCTGATTGGCTAATGTCCTCAGGGTCACTTAAAAATTCGTTCAAAGGTCGTCCATAAAGTAGAGTTTCACCCAATTTTCTAACATTAATATTTGATGGAACGTCTTCTAAGAACTTACTCTGATAACCAAGTATAGATAAAAGTTTTACCTTATAGTCACATGTATTAATAACAACAACCCGAGGACCTTTGTCACGTTTGAGGATCACGATGTTTGATTTACTTTGGAGATTTTTTAAAGCAGCGAAATGTTTAGAAGTCAAAATACTTTTGTATCTGATTTGAGAACCGTGAAATTGGTGGACAATATCAACCAATTTCACTTATCTAGTGCTATTGGGACCAGAGGGTTCAGTTGATCATAGGGATTTTCGAATTGAGCATCTGTCAATAAATCAGAAATTTCGGCATGCACAATGAGGAAATTTTTAAGGACGAATTCTCTGGTTTATAGAGGCCTCATGTATTCGTGAATTAAAACTTCCTTGTGTGTACAAAAACAAGTCTCAACCTTAAATTTACTCTGGTAATTCTTAAGCCATTTTATAACTTATGGTATTGTGACAATTTCTCATTCTTTCTATACGATGTTAATTTTCTCTTTTGTTACTTTGCTTACTTGGACCTTCATTTAATTGACTTTTATTAATTTTCATATAAAATGCCTTGGTAAGTATATGTGACCAGATTATTCGAAATGTATGGCGCAAATACATCACATTTTCCAGATTAACTCTGTCTTCTCATTGAGTTATCGAAATTTTTGTTTTTGTATGTTTATTGAGTATTTTATGTTGGCTTTACTGTGATATATAACGTCGGCTATAGTGATCCAAATAGCATTTACTGTTCTGTTTTTTGGATATTAAACGCATAACTCAATGTTCTTTTCACCTAAGTCATGCTTGAATTTTTCCCCAGTTTGGATAACCATGTTCCACAGCTATTCCTCACATAATAACGCTTTCCTTTAACACTGTTTTTAGTAATTTACTCTGGTACGGTGACCTAGTCGTTAGTGGATACAGCCCCCAACCGCTAAGCCTTGGTTCGAATTCCGATCGGCCCGCTTCGACTTCAGCCACCGGATAGTATCATTAGCCTTCACACTTCGAGCTTGAATCATACTCAAATATCTAGTGAACAAACTAAAAAATGAAAATCGTCATAATAATTTATTTAACATTTATTTGTTATTAAACAATGATATATATGATTAGTGAGATTCTCCATTAACGAATTACACCCGTGACTGTTACAAATAAATTTGTACTGGCGAATTAATTGCGTTTGAGTGTGTGCATTCGATTCCAGTTCTAACAAATCTTTGTAAGGTGGTTGCCACGGTAACAAGTTTTGATTTAAATTCTTTTAGATGTCACGTCTGTCAGTTAACCACAGGTTAGAGACCATTGTATCATTGGATACGAAAACAAAAGAACTGATTGTTGAAATTGAAAACATTAGTAAAGGAATCAATAATACGAAATCTTGTCGAGAAAAACTAGATTGTTACCAAACTAGAATTAGAGAGAATCTCGTAACTATTAATTCGATTTTGGATGAATTGCAAACGTTCGGACGTGAAACAAACATTTCATCTACAAACAGGACACTGTATGAAGCAATTGTTCAGAATAAAAAACAACTCTTTACACTGCAGGTAATGTACTTTCCACATTAGTCACCTTGTTCTATGTCTCTTCAACTAAGTGAGGTTTACTATTTTTTATGCGGATGTGTAATAATATTAGTGTAATGTATTCATTCATAGCAGCAGTGTGTCACGGTTAAACTAATTTCACAACTCGGCACCGCAATATCGTTTTATGTTTTCTATGTATCGCTTTATTAAATAAATCTATAGGCAGACTGACCAGTAGGATCGGAATCCTGATGCAACTTTCGGGATAACTAGTGCAATCAGTGTTTAGTTAATGTTTGGTAAATGTATTCGAATACAGTGTTTGGTATCTGTGATTCCGAAGCATCATTTACGTGATACGTAATGTGGTGGGTTGGAAAAAAGCTATAGATAGCCAAACGAAAACACGCCATCATTCCATGAGGTCATTGACTGTTGAACTGAAGCGGGCCAGAAGGTTCAGAATCACTCTCAGTAATACAGGTGCATTGACTCCGTCTTCCTTTAGATTATAAGTTTCCATGGTAATTAGAAGTATCCGAATTGATGTACTAATAATTATTTGAGGCAGGTAGAACTACATGAGCACAAATGAACGTATTATATTTGAAGTTCGTAATCAGCACGCAATCAAGTACTAAGGAACCATCAGTTAATACAAATACCACAGTTTCTTAAGCCTTTTATCCATGAGTCCATATATTTTTACAATCATAACATTTATGCTTAATCTTTTCAATTACCACTAACAGTTATTACTGATACTACTCAAACATCTGTTTAATAATGCGGTACGGTGCACATATGTACTGGGTTCTACGTTGCATAAGACTGACTGACTGATAGAATGGGTCTTATCGAGTATTTTAAAGCAATCAGTCCCTTTGATGAATTTCGATAATGTAATGAGAAGACGAAGACTATCAGAACTATGTGATATATTAGCGCAATACATTTCGAACAATCTGAACACACATATACTTGTTAAGAGCATATATATATATATATATATATATATATGTATATATAAAAGGTCAACTAGACTGGAAATGGGGTAAGAGGAGATAAGTATAATAATAAGAGTAGTAATAATAATAATAATAATAATAATAATAATAATAATGTGAACACAATTCGAAACCTGATCACTCTGGATAATAAGTCAATATTACCAAAGTAGGTTTAAGGTAAGAACAAACTGTTTTTGAATACACAAAGGGGGGTTTGAATTTTCGTATGGCTAAGGCTTCAATAAGCCTTAGTATACGCCCTTTTACACTTTTATACAACACCACAAAAGCCGAGTTTAGATCAATCTTACGGCCTGTTTCAATTATATGTTTAAATGTGAACTATTTGTCAATTGAAGAAATGCAAGGACCTTATGACGATGAAAGGGCTCAATGGGTTCTAACGTTACACCGTCAAGCTTGCGTTAGTGAAATGTGAGATCAATTTTCTCGAAAGCTGTATCGAAAATAATGATTATCCTAAACGTTTCTGGAAGGCACTAAGGCGAAACCACATTCATCCCAATGCAAAAACACTCAAACGTCATGCACTCAATTATATCGATGCTATCAAATCTCGAAAAGCCGAACTAGATCGCAACATATCTCTAAAAAGTCACGCCTTGTTTGAATTGTCGTTAGATGAACGTAAACAATTTGAGGACTATGTTACTAATGTTACGGAAAAACAGTCACAAAAAGCTAGACGTAAACACTTGGAAACATTGCAACACGTAGACGTGATTAAGAAGTTTCCAGAACATCCAGAAAAGTATGTATTTCATCATTCTTCTAATAAACTTTCACCAGTCCAAATACGGGCCTTATCATTGGGTCCGAAGTTCTGTAACAGCACCTCCAAAACTAGTAGACTTCATACACAAATACAATTCGAAAACCTATCAAATCAAACTCATGATCTTGTGCCAACATCCCCAAAAAATTTTCAGCACTTTAAATCCACATTAGTGGACTGCAGTCATGGATACGTTAATGCACAATGTAGTAAGAATAACCTATTAACTAAGAACCACTTGGATCAGCTAATACTCCTGAAAAGAAATATGGATTTAATCCTAAGTAAACCTGACAAAGGAGCTGGTGTAGTACTACTTGACCGCCAAGAATATTTGGATAAAATGAAATTAATTCTAGAGGATGGTACTAAATTCTCCAAACTTAAAGAAGTTGACAAAACTTTGCAAATCGAAGAACAGCTAACAGATGTTGTTAAAATTCTTAAGAATAAGGGGATAATAACCCAAGGTTTATATAATCACATACGTCCCATGGGTTCAATCATCCCGCGCTTATATGGACTACCGAAAGTACATAAGCCGGGTTTACCGTTACGACCTATTTTGGATATGTCCGATTCACCATACCACAGAATCGCCAAATGGCTAGCGGAAATATTGGAACCGGTTAGAAGGCAAGTATCTAAATTTTCTATTCATGATACTTTTCAATTTATTGATCGTATTAAGGACCTTAATACTTCCGGAAAACACATGTTATCGCTTGACGTTAACTCTTTGTTCACTAGCGTACCTTTAACCGAAACGATATGTTATATATGTGAGTACATTGATTTCAACAACATAGATCTAGGTTTGCCGACTGAACACTTGAGAGAACTATTGTTACGCTGTACTTTTAATGTCCAGTTTAGTTTCAATAATGAAATATATAGACAGAGGGATGGAATCGCAATGGGGTCTCCATTGGGTCCGATTTTAGCAGATTGTTTCATGGCAAAACTAGAAAACGACCAACTAAGCTCAATGATCAGTCAATTTCACCTATACGTCAGATATATGGACGACACGTTTATCGTTTGTGACAATAATATTGATTTAGAGAATATTTTACACACCTTTAACTCATGCCACCCTTCTATAGACTTCACGTTAGAAAGGGAACAGGACCAATCAATTCATTTTCTCGATGTACGTCTGATGAGGAGTAATGGTTCTTTAAAAAGATCCATCTTTAGAAAAAAAACATGGAATGGACAGCTAACCAACTTCTATAGCTGGGTTCCGTTAAGTAGAAAGAGAAACCTCATCCACTCTTTATGTTATCGAATACATCAGATATGCAGTAAGGAATGCATTAACGAAGAACTTGAATTCCTCAAGAAAACCCTGACGGAAAATGGTTACCCAGAACGCTTCATAGAAAAGAATATGAATAAAAGTAGTTATGACAAGAAACCTAGTTGCTCCGTTACAAAGAAAAGCCTTTATATAAGTCTGGAATTTAAAAGTGATCGAACATCAGACGTAATCAAAAATCGTCTAACAACAACTATTAGAAGAACATTTAATGCAGCTAAACTACAAATAACCTTCACGAGTAGGAACTCATTTTCTGTGTCCATAAAAGACAAGCTTCCGCGTCTGGTCGCCTCTATGTGCATCTACCAGTTCACCTGCTCTTGTGGAGCAAGGTACATTGGCCGTAGCCAGCGCTCGCTTTCAACTCGGATACGGGAACATATTCCAGCTTGGTTCCATAAGGGGGAAAGGAAAGCAGTTAGGAGTTCTATACTTGAACACCTAATCGACTGTAACCATTCCACAGATCCAAAAAATGAATTTAAGGTTGTTTATATGATTCGTTCAAATCTACCCAGATTTCTTCGTATCCAACTGTTAAAAATAGCCGAAGCTCTTACCATCCAGGAGCTTAAACCAGAACTACGCGTACAAAAGAAGTACGTCTTATCGTTATCGTTACCTTGGCCTTAATTATTTTGATTATCCTATTATTATTATTATTATTATTATTATTATTATTATTATTATTATTATTATTATTATTATTATTATTATTATTATTATTACTGCATTCCCCCCCTTTACTTATGTCTTATATTCTCATTGTTTTATTCGTGAATACTCATCATATCACCATATTTATTTTTACACCTATATGACCTTTAATTATATGTTTAGCAATAGAGGATGATGGATGTTTATCCTCTGCTCTTATTGGGTCACTTGATTGTATTTGTTTCTGCAGCCATTTTGGTACATGTTCACACACCCTAATGTTTATATCACGATTGCTCCTCCCTTTAAATTGGTAAACACAATGGGATGTGACACAATCGCTTTAATGTCTTTTAGGTTTTGGATGAAGCATGCACCTTGTTCTTTCTTTGATAATGACCTTTGCTGCGCAATACGTTTTATTGATGACTGATTTAAATCTGTTTCAATAAAAGGCTATTTGAATCACCTCTCAATGATAAGGTGATGTAGACAGGCTTTGTTTCTACCAAGGCTACAGTAAGTCTCACTGTACCATGGACTTTCCATCTATTTATGAATTTCAGAGGATAACCATTTTCTATTAATGTTTTATTTAGCAACCTAGCATCATCATCAATGGCGTCATTTGTACAAATACGATCAAGCCTGTTGAAAAGACAGCTTATCAAACCACATGTGTATTGCACAGGGCAATAACTATAGTAACTAAGGTATTGACCTGTCCATGTTAGTTTTCTAAAAGTGGATCGCTTGACTAAGCCATCTTCTCGTCTACTCAGAAGTATATCTAATAAGGGAAGCTGATCGTTTTTCTCCTCTTCACATGAGAGACTAATATGGTTTTGGAGAATGTTAAGTTTATTTAATAAACGGTACATATCCTCTTTTCTTTCACAAACAACTAAGATATCGTCCACATATCTCTTATAAAGTGACATGTTTCCGATTAGGTCATCGGCCAGATTTTCAACATGTGCCATGAACACATCTGCTAATAATGGACTACCCATAGCAACCCCATCAATCTGACGAAGGTATTCACCTTCAAAAGTGAACTGAACTTTGTCAGTACATAATAATAGTAAATCTTTAAGAAATTTTACAGGTACACATGATTGAAAATTGTTTACAGATATGTAATCACATAATATATTAATGGTTTTTTTCAAGGGTGCATTTGTAAACAAGGAATTTACATCAAATGAGCACATTGTCTTTTCCTTGATAT